TGAACATGTTCTTGGGACTAGATTTTACATTCCTCTGTCTGAAAAGCCAGATGCCTTAATTAACAAGGGTCTGATTTTCACGGGTGCTCAGCATCGAGAGCTCCAGCAGTTTTCAGCGGCTCCAACCAGCGCTTCTCAAAAAGCGGGTCCCGTGAGTCCATGCAGACAGGGTACAGAGGGAGTCCAACTTTTCTATACTGAAATGTGTGATGACTACAGAATTGGAAATTCTCACTGGGAGTCTTTACTTTCTAGTGGGGAAAGCGTCCGATTTCTAAGCCACAAGACATTGGGCTTCACTCTTGTGATGTTTAAATGCAGAAAACCTGTTAGTGGCCGAGGGCTGAATTCTGCCTGTTCTAGGCCTCAGGCAATGGGAAATTCTACATAATTTCCTGCACTTCTACCCGGGTAGTACCCCTCTCCCATCAACAAACGCACACAATGCATTTTTAACCTATGGAACTCTCTGCCACATGATATCACTGAGGCCAAGAGCTCAGTAGGATTCAAAAGAGGATTGCACATTTATATGGATTATGACCACATCTCTAATGGCATTAGGCAGGGTAAATAGATATGGTTAAGAGTTATGAGTCCTTCTGCTGCCTGGCCCTAGCTGACAGGGGTTGGGGAAGACACTTCCCTTGAGGGCTGGTTATGCTAAAGTTGTACTCGAGAGGACTTCTTGCATCTTCCTCTTACGCAGCTGACGCTGGCAGAAACCAACCAACCCAGCCTCTATCTGAAGCCCTGGCCTGATTTGGTAGGGCAATACCCAGGCCAAATTCTTTTCTGGTGTAAGCAGATGGAACGCTATGGAAGTCAGTGGAGCTCTGCCCATTTACAGCAGCGGAGAATTTAGGCTCCTGGGAGAGAAGGAAGAAGCATTTCCCTGGCCAGCCGGTTTATTTGGAACCAGCGGCAGGGCTTAGACTGCTCAGATAAATGCGGAGGAGACGGATCAGCAGGCAGGGGAGGGTGGAGCTGGGTGAGTGAACAAAGTCAACGAGAAGTATTAGCCCCTTATTCCAAATCACTGATCACTGCCCTAGAGAAACCAGGCATGTGCCTGACGGCAAGTTAAACACGCCAGAGGCGGAGAAAAGCTGTGTCTTATGGTCCTATAAGCAAAAGATTAAAGACACAGTGGTTAGTATGGGAGACAGGACCCGAAGGACCCTTTGAGAGCCATACACCGGTGCCACATGCTGACCCCTGCCCCTCGTGAGAGGCAGCAGCTGCAGTCGACATTGAGGTGAGTAATTAGCAGTCCAGCTACCGACCTCGGTTCAATCCTTTATCTTTGATGCTTAGAGGCATTTCAACCCACAGTCCTTGCTGTTAAGCTGACCGAGCCATCCCAGCTCTAAATACCAGGCCTCATTTTCCCTCTCACTTCAGGTCTGGTCCAAAGCCCATGGAAGAGGCCCGTTGAGTTCAATGGGCTTTGGGTGAAGCCTACACTGCTGTCAGTCAGGCATAGCTCCCCCGAGACAACGGAGTCAGCCCAGCAGACAGCTGGTGTGGCAGGGAAGCCAGGCCCAGTCAGCCACGTCTCCTTGGGAACATCCATGCACAGCACCCAGGAGTTTGCTTCCCAGTGACGTTTTGTTCATGAAAGCAACAGTTTAATTCTTATTGTTGCAGACACAGCTGAAAACCGTCAAAACCGCAGCACGTAACCATGCCCACGCCAGTCGTCCTGCCAACCCCTGACCATTAGCGGGGATAATGTAATCAGAGTAAAGCTCTCAGCTGGGGGTACCAGGCCAAATCCTCAGCTGGTGTAAATCGGCAACGGCCCATTAGGCTGTACTCATCTGCAGCACCGGACGATCTGACCCATGAACTGTAAGAGAATTTGTTTGACTGAAGGGAAAGCTCCTCCTTGTTTTCAAAGCAGTCCATCCTGCCTCCCAGCCACCACCTCCTTTTCTGGCCTTCCCAGTCTCCCTCCAGCTCCTCCTCAATCCTTCACATGATCTCACAAGTGTCAGTGAGAGAGCCTTCTTCTCTGCAACCCCTGTTGTCGGGGGCTGCTGCCCCTTAGCGCTTCCTGCATCATTAGTCCTGGATTGCTTCCCGTATCTGTGGATGGAGCTGGTCAAAAACATGGACACAATTCTGAAAGATTCCAGAGACATTTTTCCCCCATTTCTGTCCAAGTTTTCAGACCAGCTCTATTCACAAAGCTCTTAACTGCCCTTCCTCCTTGTAATTCTTTTACTCCGACAAGAATTCTGAACTCTAGCGTCTCTGAAGGGCTCCGTACAGAAGTAGGTATTCTATTGTGCAGAACGCCACTTCTGTTAAAGTCACACAATCTGTGTACCCCATACAATTTATCTCATGAATTAATTATTTGTATTACCGCAATGCCCAGGAGACCCAGTCATGGATCAGGGCCTATTGCACTCAGCGGTGTGCAGACACAGATCCAAAACAGGAGGTTCCCAATCCCAAAGAGTTTGCAATTAAGTAAACCATTTATATTGTTAACCACACCAACAGTAATAATAAATAATAATACCAACACCAAACTCTTATATAGCTCTTTTCATCCTGGGACCTCACAGTGCTTTACAAAGAAGATCAGTATCATGGTAAATTGAACTGATTTATTTAAAGGGACACAACTGATTAGACTTAATTTACATTTAAATGTACTGAGCTGTGAAAGAAAGGGACGTTTCTGGCATAACCAGAGAGCTGACTGATCTATCCCTCTCTTCGTCCTGACAGCCACCCAGTTTTGAAAACTAACACGCGATCCCCAAATACCCAGCCACACTAGCATGATGACTTGTAATTTCCTAAGAGTGAGCTCCACCAGGCTATGGCTGAGTGCCATGGGAGGTAGCTGGGTACCGGTGAGGCCTCAGCTGGAGTACCGCATCTAGGTTTGGACAGCACACGTTAAGAAAGATTTGGAAAGCTGGAGAGAATCCAGAGGAGAGCAACAAGTGATAAAAGGTTGAGAAAACCTGACCTATGAGGAAAGGTTGAACGAACGGGGCATGTTTAGGCAGTACCGATGCAGCTGTAAGATCGCTCACGTAGCCGCTCCATGCTGGCGGGAGAGAACTCTCCTGTCGACATAATGAAACTACCTCAATGAGCGGCGGTGGCTACGTCGGCAGGAGACGCTCTCCCGCCGACAGCGCTGTGCACACGAGCGCTTATGCCGGCACAACTTATATCACTCGGGGGTTTCCTCACCCCTGAGCGACAAAAGTTTTGTCAACATAAGTGGTCGTGCAGACATTGCCTCAGTCCTGAGAAGAGAAGGCTCAAGAGGAACCTGATAACAGTCTGCAAATAGAAAAGGGACGTCATAAAGAGGACAGTGATCGATGGTTCTCTACGTCTACCGAGGATAGGACAAGGAGGAATTGGCTTAGTCTGCAGCAAGTTTTCAAGAACAAATTAGACAGAAGACCTCTCTGGGACGGGTCTAGGTAGACGTAAACATGCCTCCTAAGTGGCGGGGCACAGGGAACGGACTAGGTGACCTCTCGAGTTCCCTTCCAGCCCTGCACTTCTGTGATCTTATCGCCTCCCAAGGTAAGAAGTAGAAATAACAGTTATTTGAGTGGTTTAAAACTGGAGCGCTTCATCCTGTTGAGATCATACTATAAGGAACAACCCTGAACAAAGTGAGGGGGTGACGAGGCCGTTTACACTCCGGACTGCTCGGACTGTGATTACAGCATGCGAAGAGGCTAATCCAGGGTCTGAGCGCTGATCCCACAGGCATCCACAAAGTGATTTTATCTTGCAAACAGAGCGCCCCAGAGGAAACTACAGGAGAAGCTGATCGACAGCTACCAAAAGGAGGAAAATATGCCTAAGAGCCACAGACCCACCAGGCACCTTGTACTCATTGGGAAAGCTAACGTATTCAGTGGTACCATGTTTTCTCCTTCAAGTCGTGAGACACAGGTTCGCATTCAGTCCTATCGTCCTGCTCTGACAAGAATTCATAATATTCCAGGGTGGTGGGACAAGATGACCCCAGAGCTGTTTTCGACCCATGAGATGGCAACCGTGCCGTCCTTCGGCAGTGAGGTAACTAGAGTCAGCTCTGCATCAGCAAGTGATTTAAGTGCCAACTTTCGTCCTAGAGGTTATGGAGATAGCCACATTACAGATCAATTAGCCAGATACCAAAAACCGAACTGTGCTATTTCCTATTCAGCGGTCGTATCCCCAATCCAACCCCCACCCCAGCCACATGCACATTTTTAAATCAGAGTAACAGCAGAATTACAGTCCTCTGGATCTGCACTGGAGTTAGGGAGGTCAGAGTCTGGCCCACAGACTCTACAAATGTGTCAACAACAATTTCCTTATTGCATAGCACTAGCGTGAAGTTATTTCAAGCGTAAAATATTTCCAGCAAAGAACTGCCTTATTTAGTAAATCACCGTGAATCAATGATTTACTTCAAATGAGAATCTGATGAATAACCTCAGACTTTTTAATGCCATCTAAGAAAGTTACTGGGGAATTAGTCAGTAAAATGTGTCTTGTAGATCTTTTATACTGTGTTAAAAAGACCACTCATATACAGAGACATTCTGCTCAGTTACACTGGGTAAATCCAGAATAACTCCACTGAAATCAACACAATTCCTGTGGTGTGTAGATCAGGACCTACTATGATCAGGTTCACTGGTGTATATCTGGGGTATCTTCTGTGAAGGCAATGGGTGGTCGCACTGATGTAAAACCAGATCAGATCCAGCAGATTCGGTAACCTAACACAGCAAGACCTGAGTTAAGCGGCCGTCCAAAGGAGCAAACAGACGTGTAACTTCAACTAAAGGTCGAAGAATACTGTCCGGAAATGGAGATACTTTGAGGTAGTTGCTAAAGACAGGGAAGAATCTATTTGACAGTGGGCTCCTACTGTGCCAGGCTGTCTGAAGTGTTCCCAACACAGCAAAGTGCTCAGAAACCAGCTCTGAAATCACCAAACTGGGCAATGTACTTACTGAGCTGTAGAGATATCCCTCGCCATTCATGGCGACGTAGAGACCTGCCTTCACCCCCTGGATCGCCACCACACGAAGGCCCACAGGAATTAGATTGAAGAGGGCTGCAGTTGGAAGAAGAACAGGGGAAAGCAACTGTTACTGAAGGTCATCTTTCCATGTGGTCCATGTTCCCTGTTTTCATTGTCCTCTAGCGCCCCACCCCTTTACACAAGAAGCAGAGTTACAAACATCTCCAGGGATTTGCAGTTACAGGGAAGGGTCTATAACTCGCTTTCAAGGGTGACCTTAGGGAGGGCTGTAAAAGTTCCAGTTCTCACTGTATCCCAGAAACCTGCAGCCCATCAGCCATCTGATCACTGCTAGCCAAGGAATAAAGACTCTCAGGAGGAGCCATCCTGGACTCCAGTGTCTCCATGACTTGAGTCCTCTGTGCCATCTGGAAGGTGCCAGGCAGCACGAAAGGACAAGACCCTTCAATGCCCCATTTTACTGCCATCCCATTGATTTAAGCGTCGCAGCCACTTCCTCCCCAATACGTTACCAAAGGTAACTATTGCTGGATGCCACACAGCCACTCGGACTCAGAGAGGCAATCTCTCTCTCATGCACAATGGCATTTTTGCTATTATTTGTAACGTAACAGGCTCGGAAAGGCTGCTGGCATTATTATATTAAATGCGGATGCATTGATTGTTTCTACTACTGCTACCTGCAATACGGGCAGAACTGAGATACCCCAGCTGAGATCAGGGCCCCACTGTGCTGTAGTTGGGGTCTGTAGGTGCTACTCTATGCGCAGTAAGAGACAGTCTCCAACCCAGAAAGCTTACAGTCTAGCTAGACAAGACAGAGGCTGGGAGAGGACATGAAACCACAGAGAGGTGAAGTGATTTGCTCAAGGTCTTACAGGAGGTCAGTGGAAGAGCTAACAACAGAATCCAGGTCTTCTGAATGACTGCCGGGTGCCCTATCCGTTGGACCACGCTGCCTCTCCCCATTAACCAGCAACATTTCAGAAACCTCTAGCCGTGGCCCAGTCTAGCTTTTCCAGAACCACAGAGATACTGCCCAGTGTCTCATAACCTTCTCCTGCCAGGAAGGAGTCCAAGTCAGAGATCGTCCCTCTCCAAGAGTATAGAACTCCTCCCATCTGTTGGCCTGGCGGAGTCAGAAAATATCAGATCTCACACACATCATTTTTGCGGGAGTTAGTACTCACTCTCCTAAACCTTGGACTAGGGTAATCACTGGAGCGGTGGGGAGACGAACTAACAAACACTTCCCTGGTAGGTTGTTTTATATTTATTCATTCATTCAAAAGGCGTCTGTCTGAAGTGTCTCAAAGGGTTTGGAATGTTCAAATTAGTCCCCGGGAGGATGGATCAGTGGGTAGAATGCAGGGGAGATGCTCAATGATCAATAGCCTGCTCTTTATCACGTGGCTTTGCAGTTTATTGCCTAGCGATTGCCATAAGTATACCTAATCATTCAAGTTATGTTATAGATAATTGATATAATTGTACAGCTAGTAAATCCCTTTGTAAAGTGAGCACAGAACAGTGGGGACTTTGGATGAAACGTGATATCCAGATGCCAATCATCTTTTTCACCTCCCACTACCCTGCTCCCTGGCCCCTTCTTCCTTGGAAGCCTTCTATGCCCCAGCAGCATGCTAATGATTCAGTGTTACTGCAACACACACTGTTAGTGCTAACCCTGGTTTAACAGAACTGAATAATTCAGACCCAAGTCAGACTAAGATTTCCTAAGAGACTTTGCATGCACACGTGCTGGGTAGGACACATGGCTTCAGCTGCACCAGGAGAAAACAAGTACTGCAACAAACCATAAACCCCAAGAGTCTTTTCCACACGAGGCCTATGAGCCAGCTGCAGACACTGCGCTTGTTTAGACTGTTTTACCAGCGAGACAGTTTTCAATGACCTCCTCTCACACACCCTGGTGCAAACAAGGGATAACTCCATAGAAGGTCACTGGAGTGGCACAGCTGTATGAGAGACAAAGCAGGCCCACGGCCAGGGCCGGCTCCAGCGTTTTTGCCGCCCCAAGCGGCAAAAAAAAAAAAAAAAAGAAGGCGCGATCGGAGCTGCCGCCACTTCATTCTTCAGCAGCAATTTGGCAGCAGGTCCTTCCCTCCGAGAGGGACTGAGGGACCCGCCGCCGAATTGCCGCCGAAGAGCCGGACGTGCCGCCCCTCTCTGTTGGCTGCCCCAAGCACCGGCTTGCTGTGCTGGTGCCTGGAGCCAGCCCTGCCACGGCATTTGGGAATTATTTGAAGCATTATGGGAAGGCCAGGTATGCCATGACGGCATTCGCAGCAGGTCTGCCCAAAGGTAAGTGGGTTAGCCCTCTTTCAGTGGGAAAACAGACACGAAAGACATGCTGCCGGATACAGCCCCTTTTCAGAAAGCCAGCCTGAAAAGTTCAGGCTGAAATCCCACTGACGCGAACACACACGTTTAAGTGGTTTCCTGAAGCAAGAGGACTTCAGTGGAAGTCAGTGTCTAAAGTTCAGCCTCAATACTGGTCTTTGCAGATCAGGGTCTAAGGCGCTGCTGTAGTCTCCATGTTCAGGATTGGTGCCAGTTTGCCTGTTCGACACACTAACACTTCTCACTGGTGTAACTATATCAGTGTCGTGCAAATCCTTCACGCAGGCTCCTCCTGAGACGTCCCCTTATCGAGGCAAGTTTTCATTGCCAGAGCTTTGGTGCTACAGCGATGCTCCAAAGCCTTGTTTAGTTAACAAGTCTATTTATAAGCAGTCCCCCACCCCTCCCGTTTTTTTAAAAACTGAAAAATGGAGCATATCACTACAGATAATCACAGCTAACGGCCGTCATTATTCACTCCCTACAGTTAATTCGTCCTACATAGAAAACTTGCCTCACAGACCATTCGTTTGGCAGTTTGGGTGACACCACCCAAGATCAATGAGGCAGAGGATCCCCACGGAAACCTATCGGTGTTTTGATTAATTCCCCCTCTTCCCCCGCAGGGGCCAGGCCTCCCCCCACAGGGTAAATCATAGACTATTCCGTGTATCATCATCATCTGTGCATTAGGTAAGGGCACCATGGGATTACACAGCAGGTGGGCAAATCCTGGGACAGGGAGGTGGCAGAGCTGTTCTGGAAGGAATTTCTACAAGAGCACCAGATGCCTGGTGGGCATCAAGACTGTTTTTGTGACTAAAATGTGTTTATATTCAGGGTACGATGCTAAAGCTTTTTTACCTTGGTATCTGTCCAGAACAAGGAATTGAAGCTGAAAACCCTAGCACGGCCAGGCAGACTGGAAGCAGTCCTACTGAAGTCATTGGGCCTGATTCTCCATTCAGACTGGAGGAAGCCAGGTGTAACTGTATGGAAGTCAGTGAGCCAGTTACCCCACTGGCATCCATGGAGCTATGCTGATTTACCCCACTTGAGGATCTAGCCCAAATAATTTAGACAAGTGGAAAAGTGAACTGAGACAAGAATGAGGCCCATTGTGTGACCCAGATTCTCAGCTGGTCTGAACTGGAGTAGATCAATCCAAGGAGCCACGCTGATTTACACCAGCTGGGGATTTGGCCCGGTGAGTGCAAGACGAAGCATTTACCTGGAATACACTATGTAGGGGATCTAATTCACCCCTCTGTTACAGCAGAATTGTGCTGGCATATCAAGGGGTAAAACAGCTCTGGCACAGAACTGGGGTCATGGAGTCATGAACCAGGCCCAAAGAGCGATATTGATCAGTCTAGGAAAAGATTATGCTGAGCAAAAAGGTGGTGGGGGTGGGGAAATCAACACAGCATAAATGGCGACCGGTGACCCTAACAATCCTACTGACCAAATTCAGGGTCGTAACATGATGATATTCATAAGATAGATATGGGCCCAAGGTCTCCTCTGATATTTGGGGTAACCCCATTGGCTTAAATGGAGATACACTGATGTAAATCAAAAGTAAGTGGGAAAAGAATCTATCCCACGACTTTGAACTTGACAGCGTCGCTTTAACTCGATAGCGTCGCTTTAACTCCAGGGCCTCGGCAGCAGATGTACGAAGGGCTGTTTTGCTGGATGCCAGTTCAAATGCCATTTCATCTGGGCTTCTAACTGTATTAAATAAAAAAAACAAACCAACCAACCTCCTGAGTTTCCCCAAGAACAGATACACGAAGTGGGCACCAGATAGATCAATTAATTTTAAAATAGCTTAAATATTAGCAGTTCCTCTTATTTAAATAACTGGATTTTCATTACAAGTTTTCATTACATCGGATGTGTAGAAGGGATGTGTCTCGTTTCATTTTAAATGTTTATCTTGCCAGAGTAAACCCACATAGTGTATTCTACGTAAAATGAGCTCCCATTCCTAAGGCTAATCAGTCTGCGCCTAACAGAATGCAAAGCGGCAATGTCTGGAACATCGCGTTCCTTTACGTGTTTAAATTACAGACTCCATTCAGAGTCCATCTAGATCGTCCCCCCGCATTCTGCCAGGTGAGAGTGAATCAGACCCCACCCTTGGGATATGGTTGTGCGTTTTGTCTCCTACAGTGTGAACTGAGCAGAAGAGACACAGGGTCCCAAGCGCCGTGCCAGTCCCATTACATGACCTAGGTTTTCTGACGCACCCACAAGTTTCGGGTGTCCAGCTTGATTGTCAAGGGTGCTGAATACCCACGGCTCCTGCTGGACTTCAAATGGAGCTGCGAGTACTCAGCACCTCAGAGAATCAAGCCCACCTTGTCTCAAACTGGGCACCCAAAATTAGGGCCCAATCCTGCAACCCTTTCTCACTGGAGTAGTCCTTGCTCACATGAGAGACCCACTGGTGTCCTCCCAGGAGTCTGGGCTGCTTGCAAGTACGGGCTGCAGGACCAGCCTCTTCACTTATCAATCCTATTTGCATTGTGCGGCAATGGCTGCAAAACACTAACGACCTGGTGCACCTCTTTCATCCTCTGATGAAAGCCAGGAGTAGCTTCCCTAAAATCAAAGGCTCTACACAGTGGTAAAACCCCAGTGAGAGAGCAGAATTGGGCCCTGTCCCTTCCAACGAACTACTGCCGTGTGTCTGCTGAATGCAGCCTTTGGATTGTGGAGGGGGGTTGTTTTCAATAAGGGCTGTTTTTCAAACCTTCTGTTATTTCAGCTGCTGCCCTCTGGAAGCATCGTTTCGTGACCTGGTTCCCGAAGCAGAAGGTAGGACTCTAGCTGTGCTCGAACCGTTGCTGAACGGAGGAAAATAACTGCCCTACCCTACCCGTGTTAAACGTGCTACCCCTGCCATGGTGACCCTGCCTACCAGTCGCCGTTTTGGGCACAGCGTCACGTCACTGATAACTATTCAATTGTACTCTAGTCTGAGGGCTCCCCGCCACCCCCAGGAGGCTTCCTGTGGAACTACTGCCTAGCCAGCATTGGAGCCAACATGCCCCATTGACAGCTCAAACCCTGCAGTCTTTACTCAGGACGGACCTCCAGTGGCTTGGCTAGGAGTTCTGTCTGAGGAAGGATGACAGGATTGATCCCTGGATTAAGCAGACTGGATTATCCCTCCATAAGAGTACGTCTACACAGCTGCTGGACGCGTGCTACCTGGCGCGGGGAGACAGACGCCTGCTCGCGCTGCTCAGGCTAAGACGCTAAAAGTAGCAGCGTAAGCGGGGACAGCACGCGTGGCAGCTCGGGCTAGCCACCCAAGTACAAACAGGCCTGGGCCCCCGGGTACGTATGTGGGTGGCTGCCCGGGCTACCCCTAGCTATCCTAGCTCGAGCACAGGTAGTACATGTGTCTACCTGCCCTGGGAAGCACCCACCCAGCTGTAATGTAGATGGACCCTTAGTGGGGGACTTTATCTTTGTCGAGCTCCCCTCCAAGATCAGCTTCTGCTCCGACTATTAAGGATTGAGAACTCCCGTCCCTTTGGGAACGGGCCAGACGTGACATCCTTCTGTGAACGCGGCTGCAGATTTCAGACTCCCAGCAGAGGGACAAGGTTCAGTCCGTGTGAGAGCAAAGGTACTGCCACCTGTTGTCCTCTCAGAAGGACTCCTGGGTCCCACAGGGAGGGCGGTGCTGATGCCATAGATGGCACTTTGCATCTCCTCTGGGGCCTAATCCTTCAGCGTGGTCTCAACGGGAGCTGAGGGCACCCAGCACTTCCCATGACAAAAATGTTTTGCGCCATCTCTTGCAGAGGGCAATGGGCCACTGGGGAGTGCTGACGTCCAATGTGCTCAGCCGAATGACAGCGGCTTGCTGACTGCCGCATGAAAAAAAATCAGCATCAAACTTTGCTCCAGACCCTGCCATCCGTAGAAGGATCTGGGTAACTTCTGTCAGCCGCTAAGTGTGGGGTGTTTAGAGGAATCTTTCCCTGGAGACAGGCTGTCTCATCACTGCCTACTGCAGAGTCTCTTCGGAAGCAGCTTATAATGGCCACGGTCAGAGATGGGGTACGGGAATGGATAGATTCTTGGTTTGATCCACTCTGGCAATTCCCGTGTTCCTAAGTCTAGTTAGGTTTTAGATGTTTTCCCTAAAGATCACTTTCCTTTTATCCCTGAAGGAAACAATCCCTACATCCTTCTCCCACACGCATAGCATCTGCGCAAATATCACGCCTCTCTCTTCTGGCAAGAATTCAAACCACGCATTTTTATTCTTCTCCCCACCCCAGATGGTTGTGGGAGTGTTAGAGAGAGAGGGGAGGGGGGAAAAAAAAAACAATGTGTGAAAACAATAAAGGAGAGATTTAAAGGGGAAGCGTCAATGGAAATAAACTGCTGAGAACAGCTGGCTTCTTCCTAATTTGATCTTTTCAAAAATGAAGGCTTACAAGTGAGCCCCACTAGGTGATGCATTTCATTTATCATCTGGTTGCAGAGAAGGCTAATTTTCCTTACTGTAGTCGCTGTTTTCGTCCTTGGTCCCATCAATCGTACCATCTGGGTGCATCTGCAGGAAGTATTCCTGCTGGCTGAATAACCTTGTCACAATTCCTTTCAGCTGGGGTTCTACAAAGATAATAAGAAGTATTAAATACACAAAATATACCAGGAATGGCAAGAGATATCAATTGCTCAGCTACTGTAAATTCCTAAGTAAATAACCCAGTATTCTGGTAGATAAGTTCCCGTGGTTCCTTGAGTGTTGGATTGTAAAGCAGGCATATAAAACGGAGCTCAGGCGAAGGTCAATAGAAAATACACTGTTAGTATAGCACCGGGTTAAGAACTGAAGAAAATTCATTTAGAAGAGCTGCCTTATTGCAAGTCATGTACAGCCTCCTAAGCAAGTGTCAATGAAACCTTTAGACTGTTCCATCATGTATAAACCACAGGGGTTCCCAAACTGTGGGTCGGGACCCCGTTTTAATGGGGTCGCCAGGGCTGGCGTTAGACTTGCTGGGACCCAGGCCCAAAGCTGAAGCCCGAGCCTCACCACCTGGGGCCGAAGCCAAATCCCAAGGGCCTCAGCCCTGGGCAGCAGGGCTCAGGTTACATGCCCCCTGAAGCCCTGGGGCTTTGGCCCCCCTGCCTGGGGTGGTGGGGCTTGGGCTATGGGTCCCCCAACCCGGGGCAGCATGCTCGGGCTTCGGGCCCCACTCCTGGGGTCAGGTAGTAATTTTTGTTGTCAGAAGGCAGTCGCGGTGCAGTGAAGTTTGAGAACCGCTGACATACCACCTCTTTACCAGAAAAGCTGCTTTAGAAATAATGTAGGGAGTTATTAACATTATATTAATACTAAGATTATAAATTAATATGAATAAAAGCAAGTTACTAGTGACTTAAGAGGAAATAATCCAGTGCAGTATATCATGATGTAATCAGTTTCATGGCTTTGATGCACCGAGTGAGATTGTCTAAAAAGCCATTACATAACTCCGGTCAGGCTGTGTCAGTGTTTCCAACAGTTTACCACTGGGCTGTACAAATTTCCTTTGAGAATGAGACGAAGAGGCCAGGGACACTGCACGCCTTTTGCAGACAGAGTGCCCGTGGACATCTCCGGGAACTCTGAATGCAGGAGGAGAGCAGGAGCAGATCGTTAGTGTGAAAGGGCTCAGCTTAAAATCACTTTGCCAATTTAAGAAGAGAAAAGCATCATTTTATAGTTTGTGGCAGGAATGCAATTTTAGAACTGGTGAACGTGATCTTCTACGCCACTATGCTTAACAAAGTGACTTTGGAGTGTTAATTCTAAGCAGGGTTCCTTGGTATAATGCAGTTGCACCTCTGAGATAGAGGTAGGAAGAAGATGATCATTAAATAATTATACCATTGTGTTTAGAGTGTTTGCCAGAATGATGTCCCAAGACCACCAGTTACCCATTAAATCACGCTGCAAATGGAGACACCATTGTATTGTCACTGCAGTAAAATCAGAGATAAGTGCCCCTGATTCCTAGTCTCATTACAAATCTGACACACCTTCTGTCAAGCCTGGCTCAAGGTTCAACATTTATGAGCTTTCTGGCCAATCCCGGCCTAGTTTGCAGTCATCTTAGGCTGATTTATGGTTCTGAGTGGTAATGAGATAGGTCTTGCCAGTTTTGCATGTTTCCCCATCAGTTGAGTTTTAGCTGGAGTTTTTGGGTCCAGCCCGCTCCCCAAATTCACAGAAAACTGAAAAGAACTAAGCTGCCAACAAAAGTTGCCGAGTTTCTCACCACCCTAATAAAATTTGATAACCAGGGCGTTCCTGTCATTTCATATTCTGCGTGGGTTGCCTTTCCCCGCAGGGGCGTCGGTGCTTTCTGGTTTCCTCTGACATACGATGGCGGAGAAGAACCTCCACTTACACGGGGCATGTTCTATACAGGAGGGGAAATCCTGCCCTGCACATTGTTTGGGTTGGCGTTTCTCAATGAAACAGTGGGATTTTGATCAGCCTGGTTATGTCTCAGGTAGGCACCTGGCCCTTTGAACGCTTACACCTGAACTAAATCCTAAAGCCCTGAACGCTCAGACCTGCACACAACAAGCATAAGCCTGGTATTCTCCTAGGGAGATTCTCCCCACAACCCAGAATAGTTTGGGGGCTGGGGGACGTAGGGACACATTAGCATGTGATGAGAGCAGAGGGTGATCTCTGAGTCCCATACGGAGTCTCTCCCCTTCTGTTTGAAAGCTCTGGATTTCTTGCAGTTTGCTCATCATTACTCACACCTGCCTACCGCTGATTTAACAGCCCTGGGCACAGAAAGCGTCTGTCTGACTACAGAACAGGTGTAGCTCTGGCTAATGCAGGCTCCCCCACGTGGCCTGGCCCAGGCACCAGAAACATGATCTGGGGGAAGCAGCCCCAGCGGTGGAAGGCAGGCAGGCTGAATGGACTGTTTGTTGATTGACCTATCTACTGAGGACGCCAGCGGAGGAGGCAGGGAGAGTTAAGTAGACTGACATTTTTCACTGGGAGCCAGGATATGACCACCCACTTCTTTGGCACAGGTCATCAAACAGTCATCAGATGGTAACTGCACCCGTTACTAGCATCCAAGGAATGGATTGGCGCTGCTGGCCCAGAGGCAGCCCCTGCTTGTGTGAACCTGAATTTGGCCATATATTTTGGTGTCATTTCCTCTTACAGCAACAAAGATTGAACAGGTAATTGTATTGCAGCTTTCTCGAGTGCAGCGGTCCCTTACGCTGCAGTCATTTTCAGGAAAGACTGTTAGTTTGTGGGAAATATCTCAAAGGCAGCACATCGTCCAATTAAGGTGGGGGGAAATGTCTGAATAAATCAGAGCAAGAGAAAGCTCATGTGTCAGACACTAAAACAACGTTTGGGAGTTTAGTGAGAGGAAAGGATACCGAAAGATCCTTCAACTCTGGCCATGCTGGGGCTGCGATTAAAACCTGCACAATCAAACATAGGCTTAACATTGTAATTCTCTTATTTGTCCAAAACTCCTTCAACAATATCGCCCCAAGTGCCAAGCGCTAAAAGAAACATACAGTACTAAGAACAAAATCCAAGCACACACCATGCCTACTGAACTGAAACTGACTTTCCTCTCTCAGGTCTCTTCTTTTATACCCTGGCGCGGGGGTTCCCAGCTTTCCCTGCTCTTAAAAGGGACAGCGCCTTATAACACACTTCAGCACAAAATCCTTTCCTATCCCTGAGCGGCACAACTCTGCATGCCCTCCTGTTTTGCTTCCAGATCAGCTTTCCTGCTCTGTGAAAATGGAATGGGATTTATGTGGACAAAACATGCTCACCAGTGACTTGGCTTGCAGCACTCACGCTCTAGTGCGGCAAAGCAAATGTGTTTAAAAAGACAAGCTTTACCTCCCCTTATTTCACTGTATCGATGGAATAGATTTGAGAAACTCTCTGAAACTAACAACCGGATTCAGATCGGAGTGCAACAGGGAAGAAAGCCCATAAAGACAAGAACATGGATAGGGCAGCAGAGACTTCGCAATGTTCTCATTAAAAGGCAGGGCACAGCTTTGTGGAGCGACTGTTTGAAACACTTTGAAATGGCAAATGCTGAAGTGATAACCCTTAATGACCAAGCCAGGTGCTCTAATACGGAGAGTAAACAGAAGGCACAGGGCCCACCTGCCTCCAGACACACCATTATTAAGTATATGTATTACAGTAGCACCCACAACAACTGGAGCCCCATTGTGCTAGGCGCTGTACACACACATAGAGAGAGTCCCACTCCGAAAAGCTCACACTCAAACTAGTCAAGAGACACAAAGGGCAGGAGGAAAAACAGGATCGCAGAGAGGGGAAGGGACCTTCCCAAGGTCCCCCAACAAGTCAGGAACAGAACCCAGGTCGCCTCATTCCCAGCCCAGCCCTCTACCCACTAGACCACACCGACATGTTTGGTTTACAGAGCTCTGGGGTCCCTCATTAGATAAGAGATTTCACCTACATCGGCATCGAGAACATTGCAGTCTGTCAATGCTACGGGTCTCGTTTAACCCCACCCCTCACCCACTGCCTCGTGGTGCTCACCAGCTTGTCTGCTGGTTCTCAGAGCCCCATGATCAGGTGACTGCCCTGTACAGCTGTCAGTTTCCTAGTCTATATTTCGGGTCCCCTGCCCTCCTTGTGTGCATGGGAATCCCAGAGAAGGCAATGGGATTTCTGTGCAGTGAGCGAAGGGAGACTCTGGCCCGTATGCTATCAGTACTGTAGGGCTGCTACGCTTTAGGGCACCAAAACTAAGGGCCATATTTTGGCTGCTCTTCTAGAGATGCACACGGCTCAGCACCCTCCTCCCCCTCCCCACACACACACACACACCTTGCACTCCTCTCCAGCTGCTGGCCAGAATCCTTCACTTCATGTGCCCACGAGACCCCAAAACAGAAAGAGACAAAGCAGGCTGCTCTCTAAAAGCAGAGGTGCAAGAGCACATCAGTGCTGGCGGAGAACCCCAAAGGGATCGTCTGTAGTGCCCCGTGCCCTCCACCATAGCCATAGCCAACAAAGCCTTGGTCCGTCTAACCCATCCACCAGTGGGGAAGAGAGTAAGAACTCTGACCAGTAACACTGGGGCAAACACTTCCTCTTATGGAAAATGCCACTGGAGCTCTGATTTGTACATATTGGATTTCTCTATTAATCGAGGTTGAATACAGAATCTACCCCAACGGTGGGCACTGTACAAACTAGAAAACATAAGGAAGATAACTGTGTTTAATACAAAGAGAAGGACGCTCAACCAGGCTGTATAACGACACCCAGATGACGATAGCAAATCACAGCCCACAGCCATCAGTACAAGACCAGCTCATACACAAGAGAATAACTCCGGGGACAAGGAACACCACTCCACTGCCAATGTCCCCAAACCAGCTCAGCCCAGTTCTCCCAGAACAACAGATGCCCCTTGATGTGTGCCCTTAAGGTTAACTAATCTGAGCCCTGCGGGACCATGCTGGGGAACTGAGCTCCCATCACAGAGGACACGGTGCCAGGAACCCCACTCCCTGCCAGCTCAAACAGCTTCTCTCATCACAACTCCGTGCTACTGCCTTGGGGGAAA